ACACACACACAAAATCATTTTATATGAAAAAAGAAGATATATTCTTTATACAAGTAGAGAAAGCATCGAGATATTTAGCAATTATTCCAGGGAAACAGGAAATAAAACTTAGATCAGCCCACTTCTGTGGTTAAGGCTGGAGAACAGGTCTGGCTAAATTTTAAGTCCAACGTGATCTCAAATGCTCTAGTTTACATGAGAGAAGGTGGCTGCTACAGTCTTACATTAATGCACCTTTATATGGATTTTGCAGCCATTTAAAATGGTTTACAAGAATGGATTAAAATGATTTATACCCTGACCGATGCACTATTATGTGCCAAGCCATTTAAACCAGTTCATAGCTTAACAGACCCTGCCAGTTATGTAAAGAGATTAAAAGCCTTCTATGAAAAGTATAGCCTTTATCAGGTGGAACATAAAATGTGTAAATACAAGCCAGATATAACTTTAAGTAAACCAGACATCAAAAAAAAAAAAAAGTAAAGAAGACGACATATGAACTTTATGGAACAAGGAATACTTAGCACTCTGAAGTGCTTTTATGTTAAATCAATTCCTAAAATATCCCAGGGATTTGGCAACTGCATTAACCCCATTGTACAGATATAGCAACCAAAATACAAGGGTTGTATGACTCAAAGATCCCATTAACCAGACCACACTTAAACACTGCAAAGGGAAAAAAAAAAAAGATCATTACACCTGACAGCACTTCCTCCCTCTCGGCAGCCTCCTTTCAACACAAAAATGTAAGGATTTATGGGTAAAATTAAATCACTTGTTGAGGTCACTTACAGTACCAGAGTATTTCAGAGGTTAAACCTAGTTTAGTATATCTAGAGTCATTTTTGAAAATGTTATTCAAATCTTATTTACACTACTTGCACATGTCTTTCCATAACTATAACTGGCCAAATTGTACTCTGAGCCACCTGTTCAGCAAGAGCTGATTTGAAATGTAGCAAACATAACCACGGGTCAGTTTTAGTCTTTTTCTGAAAACCCAGAACATTCAGAGAAAAACCAAAACCAAGAAAGCTGAGAACCCAGGCCTGGTAGCAAAGATGCTTGCACTAACCCTTGCTACCCTAGTGCCGCACCACAACTTTGGCCAGAACCCTTCAACTTTTGTTTCCGTTTCATTCCCTGAAAGCTGCAGGGCTGAGGAAAGGCTTTGGGATCCATGGTTCAGTGACAGCAGCAGAAAGTGCAAAGTATTAACTTCGTCTCTCAGAATAAGATAGAGGAGTTCTCATGACCCAAAACACTCTCATTCATCAAAAATGTTTGAAAGGGAAAATGTCTGCAGTGCACAAAGTTAACAGACCCCAGGGCTAAGGGAAGCTGCTAATTGATAACGCTAACCAAAAACTCCTAACAAGGCCAAGTGTCTAGTTAGAACTGCTCAAGGAACAGAAGTGTGATCACAGAATATTTATTGCTACTGCTGGGAACTACCTCTTATCTACTAAGAACACAAATGGTGTTATTTCACAGAATCATTTAATCTGAAAGACAAGGCAATTATTTAAAATATATATATTGGAATATATGCATTGGTATATATGCATAATAGGAGAGTTTGAAAATGAGCTTAAAACAAGATTTGAATCTCAAGACGGTAAATGAAAAGCCAGAAAAGTGTCTCCCCCCAGTTTGTTTCTCTATTATTACAGGGCCTTTCCATTACTCATCTGCAGAAGCAACATGAAGTCAATTAGAACTGTAGAAACATAAGCAAGGACTGAGTTTAAATGGAGCTATGGCTTACATCCATCTCTTTTGTTCATGATAGGGGAGTGGGGTCCATTGCAAATCCACAGGGGGGATTTACAGCACTTGAACAGTAACCTATACCCATGCAGGAAAAAATACAAGTCCAGCATTTCTTGGTCTACATAAAGCTGGAGATGTTCAATAGTCAAGAGTGGTTATTGCCAAGCTAACTTGTGATAGTCTCAGATCCCCACTTGATGGATCTCAGGTTAGGAGCATTTAAAGCTTTTTTTTTTTTTTTTTTTTTTTAAAATCAATGTGCAGGAGATAATGCATTAAAGCAACAGCTTCTCCTCTTCAGGTCTGCACCTCCTCCCTACTCCATGCACTCCTGAGCAATCTCCGCCCCCACTATAATTGCAGGGAGCCCAAGCATCACTAACATCTTTCCTAGATTCATCTGGAGCACATGTCACATGTCCCTCCCCATCTCTTCCATAGTCCATCCTATTGAAACCACACCTAAAAAAAACCGTCAGCTGCTGGCGGTTTGCCTAGAAGTTTAATCTCTGGGGCACTTCCTCCTCTGATCTAGCGAGGAGGAGGCAGACTGCGCAGCTATCTGGTACAGAAGGAGCAGAACGACGCGTTTTTGAAGCTGACCTTCTGTATCTAACAGTGGAACAAGGTCCCAAACTGCTTCATGGCCTCACGCCATCATCAGACCTGGTCTTGCTAAGAGGAAATCCATTCTTGCCTGGAAGGTGGACTTCATCTTTCATTTCATTGCTATTCTGTAGCTGGATACTGTGCAAGCACTGGGATAGCCTTCTTATACAGGACTTGGACTCGGACATCACAGTTGCTAGGGGGAATCTATACATTCAGGGATCAAACAGGAATAGTCACTGACATAGTAGTCATTGCATCTAGTTAGCCAGATCCTTTTGAGTACTGCTCACCTGTTAATTCTGCATCTTAGGCAGGACTATGACAACTTACCCTTTTCTACTGGTACCTAGTACTTCCTCCCCATAAAACCAATGCATTCTACTAACTTCGTATGGCATAGCTTCCAGGAAAGGAAAATAAACCCAGCAGCTGGAAGGAATTATGCTCAATACAAGCTGCCTCCACTGAATCAGTACTGGGGAAGAAGACACCAACACCCCATCCAGACAAGCGTGGATGTGTGGTATGTGGTGCTGCAAACCTGTCTGCGGAGCCACACACTGCACATGCAGGTAAACCCCACGCTGCTACCTTGCAGTGCAGGGGTTTTTTTGACCCCAAGAGATCCCTGGGTCAGATAAACCCCACACCTTAAAAAAAAAAAACAGAACAGCAGTGTGGTGCATGTGGTGGCAGCGTGCGCTACCCAAAACCAGCCATGCTCCGGCTGCCGTCCAGGCCCTCAGCTGCAGGAGCACTATGGCTGCAGCTCCCCGAGGCCCCCAGGACCCCAGGTACGGCTGTCGGAGCCAGCGGTCAGCCACACTTACTACTAGGTTTATGCTTCATACTATTTGGAACTGCAACCTGGGACATTTAAAGCGCACCACGTAGTAAAATGCATGCTACCTTCACAAGAAGAAAGTTCATCATAAAATCCACCGTAACATTCCCCCCACTGCCATTTAAGGCCATTGCTTCTTGTCCTGTCCCCCATGACCAATAAGGAGAGTCTAATCATCACCCATCACATTATCAGGTAACTAAATTAGCATAGGACAGCATAGCACAGCCCCAATCACACCCCAATTTTTTATTGGTCCATTTGGTCATTCCAGTCTCAAGTGGAGAACCTCACACGTGCCGTCAGCAGGCATTCAGCAGATGTATGAATATTGGATTCCCATTAAATGTTGAGATACAGTCTACCAGCAGCAACCATAGCATGTTTTCAAATGCTACTCTTAACATCAACTACTCGACTGATTTGGAATAGGAACAGAACTGCCACTGAAGCTTAGACCAATGGTCTAAGTACCGTGGTCATGTCTGTGACCAGTACCAAGTGTTTCAGAAGTAGCTACAATACCTTTGTAGGTACCAAATTGATAGCAGGGTTGAAAAGCTGTTGTGGCTGTGACAGTCCAGGACACGAGAGGCAAGGTCTTTTGTGCTTTTATCACACCAGCTCAGCTCCCAACTATCTCTTATAGCTGAGATGTTACTCTCCCAACTCAAAGCACTAATGGATGTTTTTCAAGTGCTTTGCCGAAGAGGGATCGCTAAGCATACTGTGGCAGGCCTGAACAGACAGTGTTATTAGGTGCTTATGGGGGAAGCCCCCACTGTGACTTTTATACCGAAACATGGGGCATGTGCTCTTATCCCTTTTATCCTAGGGTAATGGCATGTTTTTCCATATGACCAAATGGGAACAAAATGACAAGACACCACAAGGTTTATCAAACTGGCAATCACTAGCTGAACACTCGTGGTTCTCACTTATTTGGATGGCCTCTCAACAAGAGCTAGACAGCCGCCTGCTCATCCCAAACAAGTGAAAACAGAGGCTACCTGCAATACAATGTGCTGTTAAATGTATGATCAGAGGATACTTATACCAGAAACAGTCAAATGAGGCAGTCCAGAGGTTGAGCTACGCCCTCTGCTGCTTGAAAGGAATATTTGCACTGCAGATGTTGCAAGGTCACCTTGACCCCGAACTTACTCAGGCAACCTTCAGAGGCTGAGAAATTG